CATCCCTGCTTCTCTGTCTCTCAAAGTATTTGACTGTATTGAGGAAACTTCTTAGCTTTGGTTTAGTCCAGTTGTGCTGGCTTCCCCTGCAGTGTGCACTCTTCTTCCCTTCACCCAAGACGATTCTTACCTACTATCTAGTCAGTGAATAACCCTCACCCTCCGTCCCCACCCAGGTGACCATCAAAGAATGTTTTCTTCTGTGTTTAAACGTTTTCTTAAGTTCTTATAATAGTGGTCTTATACAGTATTTGTCCTTCTGTGACTGACTAAATTCACTCAGCATAATAAATTCCAGCTTCCACCATGTTATACGATGTTTCACAGCTTCATCATTGTTCTTTATCATTGCATAATATTCCGTTGCGTGGATATACTATAGTTTGTTTATCAATTCGTCCTTTGATGGGCACCTAGGTTGCTTCCATCTTTTTGCTGTTGTGAACAGTGCTGCGATGAACATGAGTGTGCATATATCTATTCGTGTGACGGCTCTTGTTTCTCTAGGATATATTCCAAGGAGTGGGATAGCTGGATCGTATTTGGTACTTCTATTTCTAGCTTTTTAAGGAAGTGCCAAATTGATTTCCAGAGTGGTTGTACCATTTTACTTTCCCACCAACAGTGTATAAGTGTTTCCGTCCCTCCACAACCTCTCCAGCATTTATTATTTTGTGTTTTTTGGATTAATGCTAGCCTTGTTGGAGTGAGATGATATCTCATTGTAGTTTTTTTTTTATAGTTATTTTATTATTATTATTGTTTATTGTACTTCAGGTGAAGGGTTACAGAACAAATAGTTTCTCATGAAACAGAAGTACACATGTTGTTTTATGACATTAGTTAACAACCCCACAACATATAAAAATATGGAATGCTTCACGAATTTGCATGTCATCCTTGCACAGGGGCCATGCTAATCTTCTCTGTATCGTTCCGAGTTTAGTATATGTGCTGCCGAAGCAAGCCCTCATTGTAGTTTTGATCTGCATTTCTCTAATGGCTAATGATTGTGAGCATTTCTTCACGTGTCTGTCAGTCACCTGAATATCTTCTTCAGCAAAGTGCCTGTTCATATCCTTTGCCCATTTTTTAGTGGGTTATTTGACTTTTTGTTGTTGTGGTTTTGCGGTATATTGTAGATTTTAGAGATTACATGCTGATCGGATTTGTTGTAGCCAAAATTATTTTCCCAGTCTGTAGGTTGTCCTTTTACTCTTTTGGTGAAGTCTTTTGATAGCATAAGTGTTTGATTTTTAGGATCTCCCAGTTATCTAGTCTCTCTTCTGGTGCTTGTGCATTGTTACCTGTGGTTCGTATTGTGTTTATGTCATGTATTAGGGCTCCTAGCATTGTCCCTATTTTTTCTTCCACGAGCTTTATAGTTTTTAAGTCTTTGATCAATTTTGAGTTAGTTTTTGTGCATGGTGTGAGGTATGGGTCTTGTTTCAGTTTTTGGCAGATGGATATCCAGTTATGCCAGCACTATTTGTTAAAGAGACTGTCTTTTCCCCAATTAACAGACTTTGGGCCTTTTTCAAATATCAGCTGCTCATAGGTGGATGAATTTATGTCTGGATTCTCA